GCGGGGCCTTAGGGGGCCGTGAAAAAACGAGGCGCCCTAGGGCGCACGTAGGTAGGTAGGTAGTGGTGGGCCCTAAAAAAACGGTCCTAGCAAAGGACCTGCTAAATACCATGTTGAAATGAACGAACAGGAATGATTGAACTAACAGTGAAATCGGTACATGTACCTAACCCTAGAAAAGTGTACCCCCTGTAGGCTAACCCACTGTAGCCTAAACAAACACAACCTATATAATGTTTGACGGGGTAGGTCAGGCCGATTGTCGGGGTGCTGACGGGGTAGTGGAGTGCACGGTCGAGTTCCGCCATGTGCTCTACTTCAATTCTTGAGGTAGGTGGCGAGCTGGCTTGCCGAATACGATAGATCTGGACGACAGGTGATGGCTGCGAATAGTAGACATCCTAGCTTTCGCTGATAGTCGCGTATGCCGGCAGGCTTGAGTGGTGTAGTGATTCCTTCGTGGCTCACGGAGATGTAGCGGTACGGTGTGGAATTAATCGGAAGCGTTTGGCGACGGTGTCGGCGTACTTGTGGCGCTGAGATGGATCGTGTTCTCGCCGTCCCGTATGTTGAGTCCTAGGTACTGCATCACGGTTGATGAAACGGTAAGAGTTAACTCCCGCTGTAGCTTCTTTCCAAACCAGGATGTGACGATGTCGGTCGAGCCAATGTAGAGTAGATCATCCACGTAGACGATGAGCAGGATGTAGTCGGCTCCTTTCGTGAGACGGTACATCCCTTGATCGTGCGGCAGTTGGCTAAATCCAATCCGGATTAGTTGGGTGTGTAGAAACTGTTGCCACAGTCTTGTGGCCTATTTTATGTCGTACAGGGACTTCAGTAGCTGACCGACTTGATTGGGGTCTGCATTGGAGCCGTGTGGTTGCTCAACAAAGATTTCAGCGTCAACGGGTGCGTAGAGAAAGGCGTTGGCGACGTCTATTTGACGAAGCTTCTTCCGCTTCATGGCGGCTATCGCGAGGAGAATCTGCAGTGAGGTGTGCCGACTGACAGGTTCGAATGTTTCGGAGAAGTCTCGTTCGTGCTCTTGGTCAAAGCCACGTACGACCTAGCACGCCTTGAATTTGTCGATGGTTCTATCTGCCTTTGTTTTCACACAAAAAAACCATTTTCCGCGGATAATGGTCTTGTTCCGTGCCACCCCGATAGATACGACCTTCCAGGTGTTGCGTTCTTCTAGCGCCTTTAACTCTTTGTCCATGGCTTTGCGCCATGTTTCCCTGTGCTCCCCCCCCAGAGCCTACTGAACTGTTGCAGACTCCTTAGGTGGCGCTGCTCCATGGACGGCGGTGACGAGTACCAGTATTTGCAGCCCACTCTGTATGTAGCGGGGAATATTTGCGTCCTGGAGATAAGCTGCTTCGTGTCGTGCTTTTGGATCAGGTAAGAAATTGGGCCATATGCGTTCTGCTTCGTTGGTGTTGACTTGTGCGGGTGTAATGTAACCGTTGTCTGCGAGGTCGTAGAAGACTTCGGCATCGATGCTTTTGCGAGGGTTGTCGTCGTCCATTGGGACATCCACCGAACAGTAGGGAAGAGGTCCGGCTTCTTCCAAAGCTCTGTCCTCGTTCTGCTCGTCCCAATCAGCTTCATTTGCTGCCGAAGCTAAGGCTTGGTCCCCACGAAATCTGCCTGTGACATCCCGTGAGGTTTCCAAGTTGTACAAGTACGTCGGAAGAGTGAGACATTCGTAGAAGATCACTTCACGTGCTGCTACTGGTTCCTTTGTGTGGACGTCGAAGATCTTCCATGCGTTGTAGTGTTTTTCGATGCCCAGGTGTAGTCCCCACTGTGCGCGTTGGGAGAAGCGACCTACTCGTGGAGCTGGGGGTCGGTACTGTACTATGTAGCCGAACACTCGTAACCTTTTTGTGTTGCCCAATTTTCCTGTCCACAGCAGATGCGGTGATGCATTGTTTGGGAGCGATGATGACGAAAGCAAGTTGTGCAACATGACAGCATGGTCCATCGCCTCAGGTCACTGGTGGATGGGTAGCCGCATGCCACGTAGCAGTTTGCGCATGGTTACCTGGAGGGTATTGCTCATTCTTTCTGCCACGCCTTGCTTGTGAGGATCTAGGATCGAGCTCAGAAAAGAGAGTTTGACTTAAATGATCACCTGGGTACAACACGAAGGCTCGACACAAGGCCTAGTACCCAGGTGTTACGCGAAGGTTCCGCGAGTCGCGAAGCGTCCCGAACAGACCCTTCCCGAATTCGGTAGAAGGCAATTCGGTGGCAACTGAAAAGCCCAGAATTCGGTGCACGGAACCTAGCTCGGTGCTATAACTATAATATAATTTTGGAAAGCACCTAGCCTAGGAAAGCAAGCAATTCATGCATGCATAAAATTATCCTATGCTAGAAATAGCATGATAAAGTAAAGGCAAGTAAGCATAGCTGGCATAAGCCGTCGTACTCTCACACGTCCCCCCCTCAAAGCTGGGTGGCGTGAGATACACCCTGCTTGACAAGATAGTCCTTGAGAGCACGGCGTACGTTGCCCATATCAGCTTCTGCAACCCAACTTTCCTCAGTGGGGCCGTATCCCTTCCAGCATATCAGGAACTCGAGGGTCTTGCCGCCACGGCGTCGATGAGTGAGAACGCGCTCCACGTCGTACTCGGGTTCATCCTGTATGAGAACAGGTGGTGGTGGCGGTAGCTGCCGTCCCTAGAACCGTTGGTTGGGGTCCCTGTAGGGTTTCAGTAGCTGAACATGGAAAGCATTGAGAAGCTTCCACGTATCTGGTAAGCGCAAGCGGAATGTAACTGGTGTCACATGTGCCTCAACGAGAACAGGACCATAGAAGTGAGGCCGGAGTTTGAATGGAAGGTGAGACAGGTTCAAGTTGCGCGTGTCAAGAAGCCCCTGATCTATAACTGCTACTGAATGATCTAGTCGTTGACAATCGGCATACTGCTTCTGGGAGTTCTGCATCGTGGTGAGTTGTCGCTGAGTCTTCTCCTATAGCTGCTCCATGTTGGTGACAAAGTCATGTGCGGCTCGGACATGTGCTGGTGTCGTTGGTTGTTGTGGTGTGAGTGGTTCCCGTCCATAACATAGGAAGAAAGGAGTTTTCCTTGTGGCCGCATGTGATTCGTTGTTGTAAGCAAACTCTAGGGTTGGTAACTGTGTGTCCAAGTGGCTGACGTCGTCTTTGCAAGCTTTGCACAGTAACTGTTCAACCACCTGATTGAGTCGCTCGGTCTGTCCGTCAGTCAGTGGGTGGTATGCTGAGGACATCACAAGTTTGGTCCCCAATAATCCCATGAGCTCCTTCCAGAACTTACTGGTGAATTTGGGGTCTCTGTCTGAGATGAGTGTAGCGGGGATGCCGTGGATGGTGATGATGCAGTCGAAGAAGAGGCGAGCAGTGGCTTCAGCTGTAGCTGTGGCGTTGGTCGGGATGAAATGACCCATTTCGGAGAACTTATCGATCACTACGAGGATAGAATCATGCCCTCGTGAGGTTGAAGGAAGTCCCGTGATGAAGTCGAGGCTAACGACCTGCCATGGCTGCTCCGGTACGGGTAGAGGCTGAAGTAACCCTGCTTTTTTCTGCTTGCTACTCTTCATCTGCTGGCACGTGTCGCAAGAGGTGACGAACTGCTGCACGTCTGCTGCCATCCCGGGTCAGTAGTAATACTTTGCTATCTCTGCTAACGTCTTGTTGCTCTCGAAATGTCCCGCGTATGGTACGTCGTGAAACTCCTCCAATAGGATCTGCCGTAGCGGGGCGTAATTCGGTATCCAAATATTTCCTAAACCCTTCCTTACAGCTAAGTCTTTCTCCCACTGTAACAGCTTCTTGGTCAGTGCTGTAGCGATCTCTGCGTCCACAGAGTACCCATGTTGGAATAGACCCTTGAGCAGAGGGTTCATCCCGTCGAGCTGGATGCCTGCTACATGTCTGGGGCGGCTCAACGCGGCTGCCTTGTTGTGTAGCCCGGGCTTGTAGACGATGTCGTAGTGGAAGTGAGTTTCCAAGAAGTCCACCCACCGCACCTGTCGTCGAGAGAGCGTCGGCTGTAACTTAAGGTATTTGAGACTTTAGTGGTTAGTATAGACTGTAGTCTTGGCTCCTTCTAGGTAACACCTCCACGCCTTGAAGGCTATGACTATCGCTAAGGCTTCCTTGTCATAGATGGGGTAATTCAGTTCTGCTCCGTGTAGCTTCTTACTGAGGTAGGCGATAAGCTGCAAACCGCGTCAGTGATCCTGCATTAGTACTGCTCCGACTGCTTGGTCACTAGCGTCTGCTTCCACCACGTATTCCTTGTCTGGATCTGGTAGGATGAGTACTGGCGCTGTAGTCAGTGTTGTCTATAGCTACTCCATGGCTTGCTGATGTGGAGTATCCCATTTGTAGGGCGTATCCTTTTTAAGTAGGTCGGTCAGTGGCGCTGCTATCTTAGCGTACTACGGCACAAACCTGTTGTAGTAGTTGGCGAAGCCTCGGAACTGCTGCAACTCCTTCATGTTCTCCTGTACTTTCCACTTCTTAAAGGCCTTGATTTTCCGCGTGTCCACATGTACGCCCTCGGCACTCACCATGTGCCCGAGAAACTGCACCTTCTTCAGGGTGAAGTCGCTCTTCGACAGCTTCACGTAGAACTTGTTCTTCCACAGGATCTCGAAGACCTTCCGCGGATGCTCCACGTGCGCCTTCATGTTCTTTGAGTAGATAAGAATGTCGTCCAGGTACACCACTACGCACTCGTCTAGCAGGGGTCGTAAGATTTGATTCATTTCCAACTAAAACGTTGCTGGTGTGTTGCACAGTCCGAACGACATCACCAAGTATTCGTAGGAGCCGTATCTGGTACGGAACGCTGTCTTGTGGACCGAGTTGTGTCAGGCAAATATGCTATAGTCTGTGAAGGCTGTAGTGGGGCAGTTTATATGGGGTACAACACTTTAGGCTTTGCTACTTGTACTCCCCTTTCTGCTCAATGCATTCATTCTCGTTTCTCATCATGGTATCGAGCAGGTTCCCTAGTAGGAACGCTACCTAGGGCCCATGACGATACTTTTTTTTTTTCCTGCCCGGAGCGCTCTTCACTCCTGCCCGAGTCGCGCTCTGTGTGCCCTCCCTACCTTCGAGCCGCCCTTAGTGGCCCCTCTCACGGACCCTTTGGCCGCCCTTACGGCCCCTCGCGCCGCCCTTACGGCCCCTCGCGCCGCCCTCTACGGCCCCTCGCGCCGCCCTTATGGCCCCTTACGACCCCTTAAGGCCCCTCGCGTTGCCCTTACGCCCCTCGCGCGGCCCCTTTCGGCCCCTCGCGGCGCCCTTTCCGCCCCCTTACGGCCCCGTCGCCGCCCTGTTTAGGCCTCTTGCGGCCCCTCTTCGGCCCCGTCTAGGCCCCTTGCGACCCCTCTACGGCCCCGTCTAAGCCCCTTACGGCCCCTCCGCGGCCCCGTCTAGGCCCCTTGCGGCCCCGTCGCCGCCACCTGCGGCCTAGTCGCCACCACCTGCGGCCCCGTCGCAACCACCTTCAGCCCCGTCGCTGCCACCTTTGGCCACGCCGCCGCCACCTGCGGCCCCGCCGCCACCTGCGGCCCCGTCGCCGCCACCGGCGGCCCCGTCGCCACCACCTGCGGCCCCGTCGCCGCCACCTGCGGCCACGCAGCTGCCACCTGCGGCCCCGCGTGCACCTGCGGCCCCGTCGCCGCCACCTGCGGCCCCGTCGCCGCCACCTACGGCCCCGTCGCCGTCACCTGCGGCCCCGTCGCCCTCCCCTAGCGACGCTGTCACCGCTCAGCCGCCCAACGACCGAGCCGCCGAGCAGCCCAGCAGCCGAGCCGCCCACCTGCCGAGCAGCCAAGCCGCCCAGGAGCCGAGACGCCCAGCAGCCAAGCCGCCGAGCAGCTGAGCTGCCCATCAGCCGAGCCGCCCTGCCGCCGAGCCGCCCAGCAGCCGAGCCGCAATGCCGCCGAGCCGCCCAGTAGCCGAGCCGCCCAGCAGCCGAGCCGCCGAGCCGCCAAGCCGCCCTACTATCGAGCCACTACTGTTCCTACCGGTGCTCCCCGGCCCTCCTTCCTCAGACTGTTGAGCTCACTCCCTACTAGGCCACTACACTCATGCCTACCCCCAGTGTCCTAACTTTTGATGCTGAGGGCCGTGCCGTTGACTCTGAGGTCTGGGTCGATGACCACCAGCTGTTTCTCTAGTGCGATAGGGCAGACGGACTCTCTCTGTTCGATCTCACCTCTGGTGTCTCTCCTGCCCCGCCTGCTACTACTAACAGCACTGTTCGCTCACAGTGGGCCACACGCGATGCTGCTGCTCGCCTTGCTGTGCGCCGCCACTTACCCACCACTGAGCGTGCACACTTTAGCCAGTACAAGAGTGCTCAGACCTTGTACGACGCTGTAGTTGCACGCTACTCTTCCCCTGCCACTGCTGCACTGAGCCGCCTTATGCTACCGTACCTCTTCCCTGACCTTGCTGCCTTTCCCACTATCGCTGACCTCATTACCGTACCTCCGCACTAGTGACACTCGCTACCGCGCTGCGCTTCCTGCTGAGTTCTACGCCAAGAACCCAACCCCCCCCCCCATGTACATCACCCTCTACTACATAGTCACCCGGCTCCGTGGCTCTCTCCGCATAGTCAGGGACAACTTCCTCTCAGTTTAACCCACCACTCACACCGTTGACCTCCTCGAGAAGGACCTCCTAGCAGCAAAGAAGAGCATAGTCACTATAGGAGCCTCTCGTGGTGACCCTTGCACCTCCGTCTTTGAGGGGTGTTCCCCCTCCCCCCTCTTGCCCTCTGTTGCTTCTGCTGCTGCGGCCGACCTCGTTGGTTTCGAGTCGGTAGGCGTTGCGTCTGCCCCTAGCGGGAGACGCCGCACCGGCAAGGGCAAGGGGGGCAAGGGCGCTGGAGGGGCTGGCGGGGGCGGTGGAGGTGGTGGTGGAGGCAGTGGAGGGGGTGGGGGTGGTGGTGGGAGTGGTGGCGGGGGTGGCGGCGGCGGCGGCAGTAGTGGAGGCGGAGGAGGCGGCGGTGGTGGCGGAGGGAGCGGAGGCGGCGGAGGTGGCAGAGGAGGCGGCGGAGGCGGTGGCGGCGGCGGTTGCGATGGTGGAGCGGGTCGCGACTCTTCGCAGAGGAGTGGCTCAAGTGGTGGTCCGCGCCAGCAGCAGCGGAGTGGTGTGACCCTGTCCCCTCAGCAGCTTCGTGACTGGTACGCTGCGCGTCAGCACGGTGCGGGTACTGGTCCCTGCACTTACGTCCTCCGTACCGGCGACCGAGCTGGTGAGCAGTCCAAGGGCCCGCACTACACCCAGCGCTGCTTCGGCCGCCTGACGGACGTGTGGCATTGCCAGTTCCCTGAGGCGTCAGAGATCCCTTGCTAGGGAGATCTGTCTTGGGCGGGGGTTGCCATCTTTGATCTTGACTATGATGCTATCCTTGCTGCCATGTATTCTTTGTCTTCTAGTGTTGAGGGTGACTGTTACCTGTGTGTACCGCCTGACCCAGGCATTGAGGCCACTGCTCTAGGTGCTGGTGAGGCTACTGCTCTAGGTGCTGGTGAGGCTGCTGCTCTAGGTGCTAGTGCATCTGCTGCCCCAGGTGCTAGTGCGTCTGCTGCCCCAGGTGCTGGTGAGTCTGCTCTCTCAGGTACTACGCCGGCTCAGGCCTTAGACACCTTCACCCTTGACTCGGGTGCGTCCCGCTCCTTCTTTTGGAGACCGCACCACTCTTACGCCGCTCAGTCGGCCGGTTGCAGTCTCCCTTGCAGACCCCTCAGGGGGTCCTGTGCTTGCTAGCTTCTCCATTGTCTTACCGTCCCCCCCAACCCTCTCTGGCACCGTGTTAGGTCTCTACCTCCCCTCGTTCTCTACGAATTTGGTGAGTGGAGCGGACCTACAGGATAGGGGGGTTGACCAGTTCACTCCTGCGAGTCAGCGAGTGACCCACTGCACGTGTGCTCGGACAAGCCGACACTTGGCCACGTTCACCCGTCGGCCAGGGTCGAGCCGGTACACCCTTACTACTGAGTCTCCTGCGGCTGCTGAGTCTGCCGAGGTAGCTGCGTCAAGTCAGGTGTTTGCTGCAGCGTCCACGTCTAGTCCTAGGTCTGCTCCTTGCTCGTGTTGACAGCGTGCCGCCCCTCACTTCTCCGAGTTTCCTCCGACAGAGGCTCCGCTACAGACCCTCCACATGGACGTGTGGGGCCCCGCCCGCGTCCGTGGGCAGAGGCACGAGTGGTAATTCTTGCTGGTGGTTGACGACTACTCGCGTTACACCACAGTCTTACCCTTGCTTTGCAAGGGTGACGTTACTGAGGTGTTGATTGACTGGATCCGCGCAGCTCGTCTCCAGCTCAGAGAGAGTTTCGGCTTGGACTTTCCTGTTCTGCGTCTGCACTCTGACATAGGCGGGGAGTTTTCCTCTGCCCGCCTGGGAGCCTTCTGTCGTGCACAGGGCATCCGCCAGACCTTCATGCTTCCGGCCTCTCCACAGCAAAATGGGATTGGTGAGCGCCGCATTGGCATGGTCATGGACGTCGCTCATACGTCCATGATGCATGCGGCTGCCCCCCATTTTCTGTAGCCGTTTGCAGTTCAGTACGCCGCGCATCAACTCAACCTTCAGCCCCGGGTCTCCTTGCCAAAGACCTCCCCCGCCTTGCGGTGGATGGGGAAGGTTGGCGATGCGTCTGCGTTTCGGGTCTGGGGATCTCGGGCGTTTGTCTACGACTTGTCTGCGGACAAGCTGTCCCCCCATGCTGTTCTCTGCGTCTTCCTTGGCTTCCCCCCTAACGCGCCTAGGTGGCAGTTTTACCACCCCACCTCGCGCCGTGTTCTGTCCTCCCAGGACGTCACCTTTGACGAGTCGGTGCCTTAATACCGTCTCTTCCCTTACCGCACTGCGCCCCTCCCCCCGCCGCCGTTCTTCCTTGCGACAGGTCCTCCACCAGTAGACCCCCTCCCCCCTCATGGTCCTGCCCCGTCAAGTGTGTCCCAGGTAGAGGCAGTCAAGCCTGTCAAGGTAGCTGTCAACTCTGGTGCTGCTAGAGGTGCTGAGCCTGCGGGTGCCGGGTCTGGAGGTGCGGAGACTGGGGGTGCTGAGACTGGGGGTGCTGAGACTGGGGGTGTTGAGTCTGGGGTTGCTGAGAATGGGGGTGCTCAGTCTAGGGGTGCTGAGCGTGGGGGTGCTGGGTCTGCGGGTGCGGAGCCTTGGGGTGCGGAGCCTGGGGGCGCTGGGTTTGCTCGTGTGGCCGTCGGCGGTGCTTCATCGAGGCAGGAGCCGTTCTCTCCACAGGAGCTGCGCGAGTGGTTTGCTCGCCGCTGGAGACGTGCGGCTGGAGCTGGAGGTGCTACTGTTGCTGCTGGTCCTGGAGGTGCTCATACTGGCGGTCGTGGAGCTGCTGGGACTGGGGGTACTGCAGGGGCTATTGGAGTTGGTCCTGCTAGAGCTGCTGGCGGTGCTAGTACTGTTGGAGCTAAAGCTGCTGGGGGTGTTGGCGCTGGTGCGTCTAGGGGTGCTTCTGAGGCTGCTGGAGCTGGAGCTGCTGGAGCTGGAGCTGCTGGAGCTGGAGCTGCTGGGGGTGTTGGCGCTGGCGGTATTGCTGGCGCTAGTGCTTCTGAGGGTGCTGGAGTTGGCGCTGTTGGAGCAGGAGGTGCTGCTGGCGCTTGTGCTGCTGCTGAGGGTACAAGTGCTACCCTTGCTGGTTCTGGAGGCGCTGCGCGGCCAAGGCTGTACTTCGTTCCGCTCTTGGAGCAGGTTCTTGGTCTTTTGCCCTCTACTGGTCCTGCTCCTCCCTTAGAGTGTCCACAGCTCGCTAGTCCCATTCACAGTTACAGCCCGCCTCCCCTCTTCCTGCTCCTTCTCCCTACACTGGTCTTACAGGAGGTCTTGCTGAGCGTCGTAAGCCTGCGTCTCGTCCTGCGTTGCCTGTTCGTGCTGCTCGCACTAGTGGCCGTGTTGCGCGTCCGCGTCTTCCTGTGGTCCCCGGCACACACCAGATGACGCTGCGTCCTTCCACTGCTCCCCTGCGTGTCCCGTTACCGTCTCCTCCAGAGTCCTCTCTTCCTACTCTTGCTGACCCGGAGTCTGACTCTCTTCGTGCTCCTAGTCCTTCTGTCACGCGTCTCCTGGCTACTGTTATCACTGACCCTTCCTTTGAGTCCACTGTTGCGTCTGCCCTAGTTGCTGAGCTTGTCGACTGAGTCGTGGGTGAGTGTGCTCTTAGCACGAACGTCCTGGAGGACAGGCAGGAGGAGTTCCAATGTTTTGCCGCTGCTTTGCCTCATCTCGTATCCACGCTGATTGCCCCTGAGGGAGACCCAGATGCACCAGACATCGCGACTCCTCGATCGTACGCTGAGGCGATCGAGGGACCCTGCTCCTCTCCGTGGCAGTTGGCCAAGGACGCAGAGATGGCTTCCTGGAAGTCCACAAGCACCTACGTCGACGAGGTTCCCCCACCTGGGGCAAACATCGTTAGTGGCATGTGGATTTTCAGGGCGAAGCGGCCGCCGGGTTCTCCGCCTGTCTTTAAGGCGCGTTACGTGGCTCATGGCTTCAGTCAGCGCCAGGGGGTTAACCACTTCAAGACCTTTTCTCCCACCCCGAAGATGACCACTCTTCGGGTGCTGCTGCACATAGCCGCTCAGCGCGACTACGAGCTTCACTCTCTTGACTTCAGCACAGCTTTCCTGCAAGGCAGTCTGCACGAGGAGATCTGGCTGCGCCGCCCACCTGGCTTCACTGGGTCGTTTCCTCCTGGTACCCAGTGGAGCCTCTGGCGGCCAGTCTACGGTCTCCGCCAGGCGCCCCGTGAGTGGCACGGCACATTGAGGACTACACTTGCGGCTCTTGGGTTTGCTCCTTCTACAGCGGACCCGTCGCTGTTTCTGCGCACCGACACCTCTTTGCCGCCGTTCTACATCCTAGTGTACGTCGACGACTTGGTCTTTGCCACTGCTGACACTGCTGGACTCGCCCACGTGAAGTCCGAGCTGCAGAAGGGACACACTTGCACAGACCTTGGTGAACTGCGCAGCTACCTTGGCTTGCAAATCACCCGGGACAGAGCACGCCGCACCATTACCCTGACTCAGTCACACATGGTGCAGCAGGTCCTTCAGCGCTGCGGCTTCACGTACTCCTCGCCTCAGGCCACTCCTCTGTCTACTCGCCACTCGCTCTCAGCTCTGCCTTCGGATGAGTCCGTAGAGCCGAGTGGCCCGGCGTGAGGGGGTCGACTTCTTTCAGACCTTCTCCCCCACCCCGAAGATGACCACTCTTCGAGTGTTGCTACACGTTGCAGCTCAACGTGACTACGAGCTGCACTCCCTCGACTTCTCGACAGCTTCCTTGTAGGGTAGCCTTCACGAGGCTATCTGGTTGCGCCGTCCACAGGGTTTCACTGGGTCGTTTCCGGAGGGTACCCAGTGGAGCCTACGGCGACCAGTGTAAGGCTTGCGTTAGGCGCCACGCGAGTGGCATGACACACTGAGGACGACACTTGCTGCTCTTGGGTTTGCTCCTTCGACTGCTGACCCGACGCTGTTTCTACGTACCGACAGTTCTTTGCCGCCGTTCTACGTCCTCGTGTACGTTGACGACTTGGTTTTTGCTACTTCTGACATTGAGGCATTGGCCCTAGTGAAGTCGAAGTTGCAGGAGAGACACACCTGAAATGAACTGGGTGAGCTGCGGATCTATCTTGGCTTGCAGATCACCCGGGATAGAGCACGCCGCACCATCACCCTCACTCAGTCACACATGGTGCACCAGGTTCTTCAGCGCTTCCTCTTTACGTACTCCTCGCCACAGCCCACTCCTCTGGCTAGCGGCCACTCGCTCTCAGCTCCACCTTCAGACGAGTCCGTAGAGCCGAGTGGTCCGTACCTAGAGCTTGTGGGTTGCCTCATGTACCTGATGACGTGCACATGACCTGACCTCGCGTACCCTCTCAGCCTTTTGGCTCGCTTCGTGGCACCGGATAGACACCGAAAGGTGCAATTTGATGCTGCAAAGAGGGTACTATGTTACTTGTGCAACACATCGGGCATGGGGCTCGTGCTTGGAGGACGGGGTTCGGTGGTCCTCACATGACACACTAACGCTTCTTTGGCCGACGACCAGGTGACTCAGCGTTCGTCACAGGGTTACACCTTCAATCTTGGCCCTGATTGTGTCTCGTGGATGTCCACTCGTTCTTCTTCTGTGCTTGGTTCCAGATGTAAGGCCGAGATCTACGCTGGGGCCATGGCTGCACAGGAGCTCCGGTAGCTGACCTACCTGCTGAGCGACTTGGGGGAGCGGCCTCGTTCTCACTCGTTCTTCTTCTGTGCTTGGTTCCAGCTGTAAGGCGGAGATGTACGCTGGGGCCAAGGCTGCACAGGAGCTCCGCTAGCTGACCTACCTGCTGACCGACTTGGGGGAGCGGCCTCGTTCTCCTCCAGTTCTGTACATGGACAACAAGGCAATGCTTGCCTTGTATCGCGAGCAGAGACTGGAGCACAGAACGAAGCACATTGCTCTTCGCTACTTCCTTGCGCGTGAGCTACAGCAGCGTGGTCAGCTCAGAGTCCTTGTTATCAGACCAAATGGGTCTGATGGTCTGATAATCAGACCTACTTTTTTCATTTCATCTGATTTTTTAGACGAATGAGTTTAGTTCGTCTGATCAGTGAGTCCAGCAATTATATTTCATCTGAAAAATAAGACCTAGCGTTATATTTCATATGAGAAATCAGATAGTGCGTACATTCCCGTCTGACACAAAGTACCAAGTACACCCCCTTCCCCCCACCCCCCTTTCCCTCTCCCCCTCCCCCCCCACTCTTCAGCCCCCCCCACACCCGAATTCCCTCGCTCCTCCCCACTATCCAGCCACCCCGAAATCCCCCCCGTGTCTCCCAAGTCCACGACCCTTGTGCCCCACCCAGCCCCAGTACCCCAACGACCCTCTCGCAATCCAAGCCCCCCACCCCTAGTTTCTCTCGCAGCCCAACACCCACCCCCCCCTGCTCCGCTCCCGCCTCTCGCATTGCAGCCCAAACCCGTTTAGGTTGTGTCGCCTTGATAAAAGTAAAACAGTTCACAATTTCTTGCAAACAAAAAGACAGCACTATTTGTTTCATCTGGAAATTCAGACGCGGCTTTTGCATTCATCTGGGAAAGCAGACCAAATTTTTTTACCTCGTCTGAATGTCAGACGAAACTGTTTTTCCCATTAAGATTTTCAGACGGGCTTAAATCCTAGCAAGAGCCCTGGGTCAGCTGCGCCTTGCTTACGTGGCCTCTCGGGCCAACACTGCTGATGTCTTCACCAAGACCCTTGGGTCTGGTGATCATCAGCGTTTTTGCACTTTTCTTGGGCCTGTGCTCACTCTGCCTCACCTGCTGGTTGCTTGACTTGCTCTTGTTGTACACCGCTATATATCTTTATACCTGCATATGTACGCTAGGTTGTGATCAGTGTACTGCCTTGCTATTATAAATCTGCATGTGAGCTGGCTTTGTGGCTGCCTACTTGTGCTCTGATTGTGTGGTGCCCTTGAGATCCACCCTGGGCTTTGCCTTGCTTGTTCTCTTGCTTGACTGGTCTTGTGACCACTGTTATGTTTGGCTCTCCCCTACTTCACCTATGGGGGTGTGTCAAAACATATAGTTCCGTTTATTTCACTCTAGGTTGTGTAGGGGTCATCCCTTAGAGGGTACAACCCAATTCTCTTGATAGTCTTGTATCCCTCCATCTTACCTAATCGACATTCTCACCTAGCTCCTAGTTACAACAAAACTGACACTGAATGCGATTCCTACACGTTCCGAGTGTAGTTGACCGGAAGTACAGGGAGTCTCAGATTCCCGCAGTGTAAGCACCGCCTGGTGGTGACTACCCACAAATTTGCCCCGTACTAATCACTACGAGGGTTGCTTTGCTGGCGCGCCTGGTCCGATCATTGGCATGACTTTTAATGACGACAGCCTTTTTATTTGGGGAAACATTGATGCATCAGACTTTTTTAAAATGTAACACTGAACTTTCAGGCTTTTTCTTTAGGGGACACTGTCGACCAGGGATGCTACACAGAGGGACCCTGATGCACTTACGTGCCAAAAAGTGAATCTGGGGCCTGCTTGAAAGTCGGCAGTGCATACAGTAAACGAAAATTGAATGCTGCCAGTGGGTTCAGGGTTTCGGGTTTTGAGCTGTAGTCTCTGTTAAGTGGCAGTGAAAGGGCGTCTCCCAGCGAGTAACTGGAGAAGAGAATTGCCAAGTGTACACAGCTGGCACCGAGACAGTCAGGCACGAGTGGCCATGAAATGGGAGGAGACGAGGTGAAGAGAATGAGAACGAGGCGAGCTATGCCCGTGCGGCCATGAGGTGCGCGGACACGAGCACGAACTGCAGTGCGCTGTGCGGCAGCGAGAAGGAGTCGCCCAGCGAGTAGTCGGAGAAGGCCGGGTCGAGCGGCACAAAGCGCCCCACGAGGCCCTGCGCTGCCACCAGGTCGTGCCACATGGCCAGGAAGTCAAGGAGGAGGGGGCGCGCGTTGGGGAGGGACGAGGTTGGCAGGTATTCAATCTGATGGGGAAGGTAGGGAGGGTGTGAGAAGTGGATGGGGATGGGAAAGTGGACAGATAAGGAGGATGAGACGTTGTGATTGCGCTAACACGAGGTCGTGCCTGAGAGCCAGGAATTTGAGGAGAAGACGTGTGGGAAGGATGAGGTGGGCACGTACTCCACCTCATGAGAGGGGGAAGATGAGAAGGAGATGGGGAGCAGACAGGGAGCAGAGGGGACAAGGTGAACAAACGGAGAGGGATAAATACGGGAGGAAGGATGAGGGAGGCATTGCACCTAATCAGGGGAATGGGTGTGGGAGTAGGCAGGAGGAGAAGTAGAGGTACTTAAGACAGGAAGGGGAAGGGAAGGTTATGAGGAGAGGGAAAGCACTAGGAAGCACGGCGATGAAGCCACTTGCATATGAAGCTTTGAGCTGAGATCAATCACCCATCGCCTCACACATGCATTGCCCCACACGGATTGCCTCGCACACGCATCGCATTGCAAATCCAGTTTTGGAAAGCCAAATGGGCCAAGTCGGATGACCAATGAAGGGACACTATTTGCGGGCCAATAAAACGGTGCGTGGGGTGGGAAAGACGGTGTGTTTCACAACAAGAAGAGAAAGGGTGTGAAAAGTGCATGTGAGCTGCCCCACCTCCCACAAAGCCCTATCTGTTCCCAATGCTTCACCGCCCCCCCCATAACCACCCGCCTCCTCATCCCTCACCACCCCACAATGCCCCACCCATGTCCACACATCTCCTCATCCCTCACCTCCACCACGATGCCTCGCAACGCCTCATTGGTGGAGAGAATGGCGCGGCCCAGGCGCATGGCGAAGTCCCCTATCAGATACTCGAAGCCCTGCAGGGGGAGGGGGAGGAGGACGGTGGAAAGCGGGAGGGCAGCGGTTAGTGGATGAGGGGAAGCGAGGACGAGCGGGGATGGAAGAGAGAGAGAGAAGCGTTAAGGAATGAGGTGCTTAGAAGTAGCTCAAGGCACTGATGAGTAAGTCGCAGAATTCAGCCGTGCAAGCTGGGCAGAGAGACGGAAGATGTGAGCGTGGGTGAAGCAGCACACCCGGTCACCCATGTGCGGTGGCCTTGCTCACGCTCACCCCAGCCCCCCTCCTTCCTCATCAAGGAAGGGTCGGAGCTCATACAGCAAGCGGAGGGTCTGACCTCGTAGACAGAAAAAGGTGCAGCGGAGTGGGGTTTGGGGGGATTCTCAAACACCCCCGACAAGAATCACGAGCAGCACAACACTCGGAGACAACGGAGACGCCATGCAGTGTGGCACCGGACGGACAGGACAGGGCAGAGTGTAGCAAGTGCGTGTTTGCCCCACCTCATACACAATGGAGACGGTAAAGCTGCAGTGACTCCATGAGCCTCTTTGCAGCTAGGGAGGCCCTGAGGGGGAGGGTTCTCTCACTCACCTCCCACACGAGCAGGGAAGGCTCTGACCTGATAGTAAGGGGAGTTTGGGGGAAAACGGGGGGAACCAACCAAGGGGAAGGCTCGTCGCCTCCCCAAGTGGCGCCTCACCCTGTGGACGCTGGAGAGCAGTGCAGTGTACATTGGACATTGGACGGTGCAGTGCGCAGTGCAGCAAGGGAGAGCCTTTTCCACCTCGTACACAATGGAGAGGCGGTGGCGGTACAGCTGAAGGGTCTCCATGAGCGTCTGTAGCAGTGGGTGGGAGGGGTGGGGCCCACACCTCGCACTGCAAAAAGGGGTCCTCACATCCAACCAACATGCCTAGAGAAGGCTCTGACCTCATCGACAATGGAGAGGCGGTGGCGGTAGAGCTGCAGCGTCTCCATGAGCGTCTGCAGCAAGGAGAGCCCTGAGAGGGGGTGTCTCACTCCCTCACCTCTCATACGACAGGGCCAGGCTCTCACCTCGTAGACGATGGAGAGGCGGTGGCGGTAGAGCTGTAGCGTCTCCATGAGCGTCTGCACGCTGCTCTCCGCCTCCACCACCACCCTTTTGAGGCGCCTCAAAAGTCCTCTCATACGGCCAGGGAAGGGAAGGCTCTGACCTCATAGACTATAGATAGGCGGTGGCGGTAGAGCTGAAGGGTCTCCATGAGCGTCTGCACGCTGCTCTCCGCCTCCACCACCACGCGCTCCTGCCGCAGCACCAGGAAGTGCCGCCCCGCCACGTCAGCAAACGACACGCCGAACAGCTCCCGCGCTGCCGCCACGTCAGACTGGGGTGGCGGCGCCCCTGCCGTGTCTGGCGCGAACGGGGGTGGTGGAAGCGGGTGGAGGAAGGGGGTGGTAGGAGGGGGTGGTAGGAGGGGGTGGTAGGAGGGGGTGGTAGGAGGGGGTGGTAGGAGGGGGTGGTAGGAGGGGGTGGTAGGAGGGTGTAGGAGGGGTGGTAGGAGGGGGTGGTAGGAGGGGGTGGTAGGAGGGGGTGGTAGGAGGGGGTGGTAGGAGGGGGTGGTAGGAGGGGGTGGTAGGAGGGGGTGGTAGGAGGGGGTGGTAGGAGGGGGTGGTAGGAGGGGGTGGTAGGAGGGGGTGGTAGGAGGGGGTGGTAGGAGGGGGTGGTAGGAGGGGGTGGTAGGAGGGGGTGGTAGGAGGGGGTGGTAGGAGGGGGTGGTAGGAGGGGTGGTAGGAGGGGGTGGTAGGAGGGGGTGGTAGGAGGGGGTGGTAGGAGGGGGTGGTAGGAGGGGGTGGTAGGAGGGGGTCAGTGAGCGAATGCGGTCGCAGGGAAGGCAACACTGCCCTTGCTGCTGCTTTGAGGGGCAATTGAATATAGATTGCCTTCCCTCCCACTACTGTGTGTGTGGCTCGAGTGGCATCCCATCCCATCCCATCCCATCCCATCCCATCCCATCCCATCCCATCCCATCCCATCCCATCCCATCCCATTCCATCTCATCCCATCCCATTCCATCCCATTCCATCCCATTCCATCCCATCGAGTGCCAATGCCACAAAAACATTCCTCACACAGCCCATCCTCCTTCATTCTTCACTCCTCAGCCCCCTCTCTCTTGTTTCTCTCACCTCGTGCGTTGCCAGCACCCTTTCCTCACAGCATGCAGGCTCTCAATGGCCTTCCATTCCATTACACTCATCAAGTTTAGTCACCGCGTGTGTTGGGGCGATACAGCGAGCACGTGCACTGCCAGCGCCCCTTCCTGACGGCGGGCAGGCTCTCAATGGCCTTGGCCACGTCCGTGTAGGTCGCCAGGGACAGCAGCGACGACGATGAGGGTGGCGGGGCTGTGCTGCCGGGGGGCTGGGGGGGTGGCGAGGGCTGCCAGTGCAGCAACCTGAAAGGTGTGGGCGGGAGTGGAAGGAGAGGAGAGGAGGGGAGCGTGTGGGGGGAGAAGGCTGTGGGGGACAGGGGAGTGGGGAAGAAAGGAGTAAGGGACAAGGCCCGTTGTTCACAGCAGAGAGGCTCTCACTTAATGGCCCGGCCCATTGGTGTGCGTGGTCAGGGACAGCAGCGGGGAGAATGAGGGCGCTGAGGCTGCGCTTCCGGGGGCCTGCGTGGGTGGGTGGGAGGGATGCCAGTGCGGCAACCTGAGACGTGGGAGGGGGTTGGTGAGGGGGAAGGGAGTGTGAGAAAGGGGCGAGTGTTGGCAGGGGGCGGATGTGGGCATGCGTAGGTGGCTCGACTGAGGGAGTGGGGGACAGGGGGAGAGGAGAGGGGGGTTGATCGGGTTGTGGATGAGGGGATGAGAGAGTGGGGGCTGTGCTCCTGGGGGCCTGGGAGGGGGAAGGCGAGGGCTGCCAGTGTAGCACTATGGGATGCGGAGGAGAAGGGCGGGAGGGGCGCGGGGAGAATCTTCGAAGTGAAGGGTATTGGGAAAAAGAGGAGGGATAAACTGAGTTGAAAGAACATGAAAGAGGGTGTGTATAGCGTGCTGCATGCGCGGCAAGGTGACGTGTTAATTGACGAGCCTGTGTGCTGCGGACAGTGGGGGTTTGCACGGGGGTGAGCACGCAGGGGGTTGTGCGAGCAGGGGGGTGTGCGAGCAGGGGGGTGTGCGAGCAGAGGGGTGTTCGCGCAGCGGCGAATGTGGGGAAGGAAGTGCAGAATAGGGGGCCACCCTGGAGGCCGCCGCACTCCACTCACCAAGTGACTCCCATGGCGGAAGCGCGCCCTCCCCTCGCCCGCGCACCGACACAGCCGCGCGTGACACACTCGCAGCTGCAATGCCCGTCAGCACGCCGGGAGACGCATGCAGGGCTGGCGGATTCGCCGCACGGGTGAGTAGGGGGCAATTTGAACGCGAGCTCAACCGCGCTCAACCGCGATCAAACACGATCAGCACGGAAGCCGCATGCCGGGTAGCTGCTTTAAAAGCGAGCTCCAGCGCGCTCACTCCTCAGGCGTGCAGGAGCTGTCAGTACCGGACACGTGGGCTGCGGAGGCTCACTACGGGCGTGCCGCGTCGCGTGCAAGTGTCGGACGGCCGAGGGGGTCGCACGTCGCATGCGGGTTCGCATGCGATCGCTGCTTGCGACTGGGCGAATGCGAGTGGAATGCACAGCAGGTGGAACAGCGGGGCTAGAATTCAGATTGCCGCCAATCCGGTGTTTCCAGGGCAACACCACGTGCTCGTAAGGGTCCTGGATAGGTGTTAGGACAGGAATGCGCTAATTGACCCTAAATCCCACTTATCACATACTTGCACTTGCGCGACGCCAAAATGGTGGGAGTGAACTTTGGGAGCAGGGCGGTTCCAGAGCCTCGAAGATGGTTTCGGCTGCGTTCTGTTGGCGCGTGGGTTGTGTACCCTAACTGGGAATGCAACCAAAAACCGACGCGAACTTCCCCCGAACGTTCCAAGGTTTCTTCATCATCAGTTGGACATCTCAAACCAGAGTTGTTGCGAACTCCCAACGTGTTTGCTCTTGCTTGGCGAAATTCGCGAACACGAGAGACAGCGTGTTGAGTTGATAACATTTTTTTCCGACTTTCCTTCGACCCCACATCGTCAGCATCGAGTATTGCTGCAGTTTTGGCAGCAAATTTCACCTCAGAATTCCACCTGGAGTTTTCGGTCAGGAAACACGCTCGCAAACCGCCAAACAAATCTGCCAAGGCTGAAACCCTAGCCTTCTAACCTACCAGACCTCCTCACTAACGACGCTCTACGCATTTCCTGGATACTTCCGAAACTTCCTTGTATTCTATTTCAGTGTACTGCTGACACACGACGTCTACCGCAAGCGCGCTTCGACCGTGGCCCGCAATTAGGTGTGCTGGAATAACAAGTCATAGCGACTGAGGCGTGGCTGCGTGTTGGCACGTTTGTTGCTAAGTGCAAACCGCTAGTGTCGCAATGCTGCTCAGCATATTGAGCTTGTCACGAGTATCGCAAGGTGTCAGGCGGTCGATATTGACTGCCACGTGACGTCGTCATTTTGCTTCCGAAGTCGACACCAGTTATACTGTAGAACTGATGGGTATTTTACGCCGCCTTTCGTCGTATTGCTCTGGCTCAATCAAAACCTCTTCTCCCCCTCCCCGTTTTCCCCGTTACAGAATGACTCGCTCGCTTCTCTTACAGCGCCTACAGGCGGTCGCCGAGCAGCAACCTCCCAGCCAGCCGCCCAGCAGACCGCCTGACCTGCCGGCGGAAGCCGCGCAGAGGGCGGAGGCTGCCCGCCGCGCAGGCGGCCCCGCGGCAACAACAGCGCAGCGAAGGGAAGCAGCCGCAGCTGGGAGGGCTGTAGGGGGAGATCGGGATGGAGAGGGGCGAGCGGAGGAGTGGCGCGGTGGTGTGCGGTTGGAGTCGGTTTTGGCCGCCAACCCCCTCGTCGCCCTGCCTGCCCCTCCCGTGCCCGCCCTCCCCCCTTATGCCTTTCCCTCCCCCACCCTCCACTCGTCCCCCTTTGGTCTCCCCGCCCCTCCCCTGCGCGCGAGCACTTACGAGCCTGCTGTGCTGGGGAATGGCTTGACAGGGAGGGGCAGTGCCATGCTCGCAGGCACATGCACAGGTACGGGCATGGGCACAGGCACGGGCACGGGCACAGGTACGGGCATGGGCACAGGCACGGGCACGGGCACAGGTACGGGCATGGGCACAGGCACGGGCACGGGCACGGGCACGGGCACAGGCACGGGCACAGGCACGGGCACAGGCACGGGCACGGGCACAGGCACGGGCACGGGCACGGGCACGGGCACAGGCAGGGATTTGCGTGAGCGGTGGGAGCAGGCATTGCAGAGCGGCAAGGGGCGGGCGATGAGGTGGAGTGACGAGCAGACAATCGCCCTGCTGAAGATCATGCGCGGCGTGCTGCGCTCTCAGGACTCCCCCCTCCCCGGCAGGATCGAGGACTGGGGGGCGGTGCACCGCGAGTGGTTGCGGCGAGGGTTCCCGCGGTATTTGGAGGAGCAGCTGCGATTGCGGTGCAAAGTGGTGCGCGGGTGGGTGAAGGACATTCGGGTCCTCCAGGCGCTGCTGCCGCCTGAAGTCGCCTGGGACCCCACCACTCAGTGCTTCAACCCCGACCCCAAGGTGAGCGTCCTTCACGGGACCGAGGGCGAGGTGAGAGAGGGCGAGGTGAGCGTGAGAGAGGGCGAGGTGAGAGACGTCAAGATGCGCTGTGGTCTGTTGGCCGTGTTTTAGGGCTGACAACCCTCCCCTGCCTTCCCTGCCTCCCCTGCCTCCCCTGCCTCCTCCGCCTCCTTGGCCTTCACACGCCAAAGACCACACTCCATCTCCCTTCTGTCCCTCCGTTGCTTGTATCTTCCTTTCCCTCTTCCCCCGCTCCCTCCTCCCCTTCCCACTTGCCCGCTGCAGCTGGGCATCATTCCGCGGCTGAAGCAGCACAGGCGGTGGAAGCACTACAGGCGGTGGCGCAAGCACACGGCGCCCTGGCTGCCCCTTGCGCTGCTCACCGCCCACACGTGCCCTGCTGCGGCCCCGCTGTGGGACGAGGAGTGGGAGGAGGAGGACGAGGAGGAGGAGGAGGATTGGGGAGAGGGGGGAGGAGGGGAGGAGGATGGGGAAGAGGAGGATGAAGTGGTGGAGGTGCAGGCTGAGGGGGAGGAGGATGGGGAGGCGGGGGAGGAGGAGGTTGAGGAGGGGGGAGGGGAGGAGGGATGGGGCAATGGAGACCGAATTCGGAATGTGGCAGGGATGCATAGGCATGAATCAGGAAGGAATGTGCGGAGTCGGAGGGACAGAGGAGGGGTGGAGGCAGGGGGGGGTAGTGGAGAGCGGTGGAGGGGTGGAGAGTGGGATGGTGATGAGTGGTGGGGGACGAGGAGGGGGGACGCTGGGCGACAGGGAGGGCAGGGAGAGGGCTTGAGGAACAGAGAGAGAGGAGAGGGTGTGGAAGTGAGAGGGGTTGGGATTGGGGGGGTTGGGGCTGCATTTGGGAATGGTGGGGTTGGGGCTGTACAGGAGAATGGTGGGTCTGATCGTGCAGCTGAAGTACCGCGGGCCAATGGTGTTCCTCGTGCTGAGGTGGCACGTAACAATGTCACTTTTGCTGATGTGGCTCGTGCTGCTGACATGGCTCATGCGGATGGGACTGCTGCAGGGCGGGAGGGAGGGCAGGGAGGGGGCGTGAGGAGCAGAGAGGGAAGAGAGGGTGTGGGCGAGAGAAGGGTTGGGAGTGGCGGGGTCGGGGCTGCACAGGGGAATGGAGGGGTCGACTGTGCAGCTGACGCATCGCGGGCCAATGGCGTTGCTTGTGCTGAGGTGGCACGTAACAATGTCACTTTTGCTGACGGTGCTTATCCTGCTGACGTGGCTCGTGCTGACGTGGCCCATGCTGCTGACATGGCCGGTGCAAGCGCGGATGAGAGGGACGAGTACCCTGCGAGGCTGGCAGCGCGGATCGCTGGCATGGTGGCGAGCAGGAGGGAGCAAGGCGGCACAGAGAGGCGAGGGGTTGAGGGCGAGGGGCGAGGGGCCGGGGATGGAGGGGGAGGAAACGGCAATGCACGGTGGAGAGATGGGGTTCTAGAGGGGTGGAAAAGAGAGGAGGAGAGGCGGGAAGGGGGGCGAGGGGAGGAGGGGAGAGCGGGGAGGGGTGTGAAGCGGTCGAGGCCGGTGTGGGGGCAGGTGAGGGAGAGGAAGCGGCAGCGGCGGGTGATGGAGAGTGTGGCGCGTGCCCTCACCACGTTCAGGAGCATGGCGGAGAAGGGGCAGCCCCACGTGCACCGAGGTAGGTGATTCCACTCGTGTATAGATGTACGTGATGGCAGGCGTGCTCATGCACAGAGGTCCGTGGTGTGATGGGATGGGATGTGATGCACTGTGGTGCTGTGCAATAATGTGGTGTTGTGTGGTGTGGTGTCGTGTCGGATGAGAAAATGCAACGCAGACATGGCTGCCAGTGCGGATGCTATGAGGAAAATGTCAAAGTTGCAAGCGTTGAAAAATGATTTGCTAGATCGAGGGTTTAGGGTGGGAGACTTATAGGGTGATCGGATGACGAGCACGCCTGACAAGGTATATGATGACCCATATGAACATTATAGTTATTGACAACATTATACTCGTCCCCACAACTCCTTATTTTTGCCCCTTCATCCTACCTTCCTCATCATCAGATGCAGCAGTCGCAGACAGTGCGTTCGAGTCAGAGCAGGGCGCTCAGACCCTTCTTACATAACATCTCCTGACTGACCCCTATCCAACCCCCCCCCCCCCCCAGCTTCTTCTTCTCCGGACCGTGTGTTTAAGTCGGTGCAGGACGTGTAGTGCAGGCCTCCCTACGAAACATCTCTTGACCCCTGTCCCAAACCCCCTCGTTCTTCTTCACCACCAGACGCGGTGGCGAACGGTGTGTTCACAACACCCTACGCTCCCATTTGCGAAGAGTTACTTTACACCAGCGGGAGCTAGATCATGTTTTCTCTACTTGCGCATTCAGTCGCAGTTTGGCAAGAGTTTCACTAGCAAAAACTAGGTGCACAATGATGGAATGGTAATGGCAACAATGGCTACATCAATAACCTAGCAACCTAGCACACTGACAGGTCGATTTCTAGCGCAACACGGAGGCGGCATGCCAGCACTGCAAAGCGACACCGTGCCAACACGGCTGGGAGGAAGCTTGCTAACGTTGCAAATCGGCAGCCTGCCAGCGTTGCACCAGAGCGGCTTGCCAACGCTACAGCAGGGCGGCCTGCCAGCGTTGCAACCGCAGGTGACAATAGCGCACGTGTGCACACATATTTCGCAGGTGCGGGTCAACAATTAAGCACGTTGTGCATCGTCACAAACATTGCGCAGGTTCCAAGTTGGCCACGTGCCAACGGTTTGCGCCAGATGTGCCACTTCGGGTTCGCAGTACCAACCCGCAGATCGGTTTTGCCAAAACCACATGGGTGACCAAGTCTGTCGACTTCCTTGCCCAAGTCGGCTCGACCATTGACAGCAGCCAGCTGCACCTCTCGCGCACCCGACTGTTAAGTCAGCTTCGCCCAATTGGGGGTGGGGCCATTTCCCGTCAACACCATTACCCCCCCCGCCCTCCCTCACCCCACCCTTCACCTGCAGACGCAGTGGCGGACAGCGTGTTCAAGTCAGTGCAGGACGTGCAGGCCCTCAGCTCTCTCACGGACGCGCAGCGCGTGGCAGCCATCGACGCCTTCCTGCAGCGCCCCCTCGACGCCCACGCCTTCCAGGCCATGAGCCCCGCCCTGCAGACCCTCTTCGCCCGCCACGCCCACGCCCAGGCCGTCGACCGCCAGCTGGCCGGGATTCAAGCTGCCGCTGCTGCTGGGGGGAATGCACCCCTCACAGACCGGCTCCTCGCCCCGCTGCAGGGCGGGGCTGGTGTGGCTGGGGTGGCTGGGGTGGCTGGTGTGACTGCAGGTGTTGGGGAGGTGTGGGGGGGATCGGGGATAGGGGGATTGGGTGGGGGTGGGGGTGTGGGGGGGATGGGCGCAGGGGGGGTGGGTATGGGGGGGAATGTCGTGGGGGCAATGGGGTTTGGGGCAACTGGGGCGGGGGGGGTGGGAACATCAAGGTTGGGAACGGCAGGGATGAGCATGGGGGGTACAGGGATGGGGGAAACTCAGGTGGGGGAAGCACGTTTGGGGGGAGTAAGAATGGGTGTAGCAGGAAATGGGGGAACTCGGATGGGGGAAACAGGAACACGGGGAGTACGGATGGGGGAAACGGGAACGTGGGGAATGCGGATGGAGGAATCAGGGACGCAGGGATTGCGGATGGGGGAAACGGGATTCGGTTGGAGGGGACTGGAAACGGTGGGGCAAACGAGAGCAGCGGGAGGTGGGGGTGTGGGTGTGGGTGTGGCAGCAGCAGCAGTAGCAGCAGCCTCAGCAGGAGGAGCGAGAGGTGTACAGGGTGTGGGAGGGATGGGAGGAGGAAGAGGGGTTAGTGGGGGAGGAGGGGAAGGACGGGCAGAGGGGCCAGGAGGAGCAAGTGGGTTGAATAGCGCGGGTGGGCTGGGCAGCACAGGTGGGTTGGGTGGCAGACAAGGGGCGGGCAGCATGGCAGGGCTGCAGCAGCTAGGGCATCGCGTGGAGGAGTTGGTGCGAGAGAGCCTGAGAGGAGTCAACAACGCCTATCAACAGGCAGTCAACGCTGGTCAAGGAGCAGTCAATGCTGGTCAAGGGGCAGTCAATGCTGGTCAAGGAGCAGTCAATGCTGGTCAAGGAGCAGTCAATGCTGGTCAAGGAGCAGTCAATGCTGGTCAATGCTGGTCAAGGGGGGTGGGTGGCATTCCAGTGGTGGTCAACGGGATTCAATGCGAGTGCCCTGAGTGTGTGGCTGCTAGAATGTCTGTCAGAACGCGTCAAGGCACAGTCAACTCGAGTCACGATGCGAGTCAAGCAGTGGTCAATGCGGGTCAAGCAGCAGTCAACGCGAGCCCATTGGTGGTCAATGTGGATCCAAGTAGGGGAGCATCAGCGAATCAGGTGGAGAAAGCTGTCGGCCAGCCAGGGTTGGGTGTAGGTCGTGTGGGAGGAGCTGCTGTGCTACAGACAAGAATTGCTTGTCAAGCAACAGTCAACGCTAGTCAAGCAGCAGTGAATGCAGGAGAGGCAGTAGGTGTGGGTCAAGGCAGAGCGGATGTGGGAGCAGGGGGAGGAGGAGTGGAAGGAGGGGTTTGGAGGGAAGCAGCGATCGTGGGGCTGCCATTGGTGGAGCGGCTGCTGCAGGGCCAGGCGAGGGAAAGAAGTAGTGCTGTGGCGAGGGGACAGGGGGAGACAGGCAGGCAGGGAGAGGAGCAGCAAGGGGAGCAGGGAGGGGAACAGGGAGGGGAACAGGGAGGGGAGGCGAGAGGGGAGCAGGGAGGGGAGGCGAGAGAGGGGCAGGGAGGGCGGCAGGTAGGGGATGAGAGGGTGGGGACGGTGAGCGTGCCTGGGGGCTGTGGCAGCGGAGGGGGGGTGTTCACGCTGTCGCACCGCTGTGTGGCGGACGGGCCGGCAGGGCAGTGCAGCCTGTGCAGCATCGTGGCTGACCTCGTCAAAGAGCTGGGGGGAGGCGCTGCTGGGGGAGGTGCTGCTGGGGGAGGCGCTGCTGGGGGAGGCGCTGCTGGGGGAGGCGCTGCTGGGGGAGGCGCTGCTGGGGGAGGCGCTGCTGGGGGAGGTGCTGCTGGGGGAGGCGCTGCTGGGGGAGGCGCTGCTGGGGGAGGCGCTGCTGGGGGAGGTGCTGCTGGGGGAGGCGCTGCTGGGGGAGGCGCTGCTGGGGGAGGCGCTGCTGGGGGAGGGGGTGATGCTGGGGGAGGGGGTGCTGCTGACCTCGTCAAAGAGCCTGGGGCGCCTGGTGGTGGGGGGAGGCAGGGCAAGGAGGTGGGGGCGCCTGGTGACACGGTGCGTAGTGGGGGCGAGATTGGGGATGATGGGAGAGAGGTGGCGGGTGATGGGAGAGAGGTGGCGGGTGATGGGAGAGAGGTGGCGGGTGATGGGAGAGAGGTGGCGGGTGATGGGAGAGAGGTGCGCGCCGGGGGCAAGGTGGGGGGTACTGAGGGTGAGATGTCCGGTCCGAGAGGGGAGGAGGGCGGGCATGCTGGTGGAGGCGCAGACGGGGCAGACGCAGGGGAGAGGGGTGTGGCGGGAAGGGTGAGGGCAGAGGAGGGTGGTGAGGGAAGGGGTGGTGAAGGTGAAGAAGCAGTCAATGCAGGTCGAAGGGCGGTCAATGCAGGTCAAGGTGCGGTCAATGCAGGTCAAGGGGCGGTCAATGCAGGTCAAGGGGCGGTCAATGCAGGTCAAGGGGCGGTCAATGCAGGTCAAGGGGCGGTCAATGCAGGTCAAGGGGCGGTCAATGCAGGTCAAGGGGCGGTCATTGCTGGTCAACGGGTGGGTTTGAGTGGAGGGAAAGAGTTGTTGCTTTCAGGCCAGAATGTGAGTGCTGGATGGGATATGCGTGAGGACGAGCAGTTGAGTGAGGGGACAGGAATCGTATGTGTGAGGAACGATGGAGTTATTGTGTTCGAGGGGGGGGATATGAGTATGGAGGGAGGCACCTCTGAGCTGGAAGGCGATGTGCCTATAGGAGAAGGGGATGCGACTGTGAGGGGAGGGGACTTGAGCAGTAAGGAGGGAGAGACACATGGGAAGGAAGACAATACGAATGGGAAGGAAGGAGAGATGAGTGGGGATGAGAGGAAGACGGGCGGGACTGGGGGAGAGATGGCTGGGGAGGAGAGAGAGGCGAGTGGGAAGGAGGGAGAGAAGAGTGGGGAGGAGGGAGAGAAGAGTGGGAATGAGGGAGACACTAGTAGAAAGGAGGAAGAGACGAGTGGGAAGGAGGGAGAGACGAGTGGGAAGGGGGGAGAGACGAGTGGGAATGAGAGAGAGATCAGTGGGAAGGAGGGAGAGACAAATGGGAAGGAAGGAGAGAGGAGTGGAGAGGAGGGAGAGACTGTTCGAAATGAGGGAGAGATGAGTGGGGGGGAGGGAGAGAAGAGTGGGAATGAGGCAGACACTAGTAGAAAGGAGGAAGAGACGAGTGGGAAGGAGGGAGAGACGAGTGGGAAGGGGGGAGAGACGAGTGGGAATGAGAGAGAGATCAGTGGGAAGGGGGGAGAGACGAGTGGGAATGAGAGAGAGATCAGTGGGAAGGAGGGAGAGACGAATGGGAAGGAAGGAGAGAGGAGTGGAGAGGAGGGAGAGACTGTTCGAAATGAGGGAGAGATGAGTGGGAAGGAGGGAGAAACATGTGGGAAGGAAGGAGGGACAAGTGGAAAGGAGGGAGAGATGGGTGGAAAGGAGGGAGAGACGAGTGGGAAGGAAGGAGTGGCGAATGGAGAGGAGGGAGAGACTGTTGGGAACGTAGAAAAGACGAGTGGGAGGGAGGGAGAGAAGAGTGGGAAGGAGGGAGAGACGAGTGGGGGGGAGCAAGAGACGAGTGGGAAGGATGGAGAGATGAATGGGAGAGGAGGGGGAGGTGAGTGAGAAGGACTAGATGGACCAATGGTATGATAGTAGGATCTAATTGTTTTGTTTTGTTTCATTGGCATTTTTTGCCAATTTTATTTCATGTAAGTATTAATATCATGCGCTGACTCCCTTGTCCGAGATTTTATGCAAGCTCAGCGATGATGCTAGAGTGAGTTGAATCTGTCTATGGTGGGCTACGCATTGTGAATTCTATACATACATACTCTTGAGAGGGTATACGGTTGGCACATACTCATCTACTCATCTGTATGCCCTCGTTCTGGTCATTGATACCTCTATTGACATGGCATCAGATTACGTTACGATGGGTTATCACTTCTGCCCCGCCTGCCTAGCTAGCTCTCGCTTGCACATAGCGCCTGTTGGGCTGAGAAAATAGCCCTTAGGATCTGTGTAGGGGTGAACTCTGGGTAGAACTGGTGTAGTAGCAAAAGCGTTTTAATAAAGAGTTTGTGAACCACCTTGCGCTAGTGTGTGAAGGCAAAGTTGATTGATTAAAGCAAAGAGATACAAGATTATGAGTACAGGGAATACGAAGAGATACGATTCCAGCTGTTTTACTGTTGCTGTTGCGGTTCGATACAGTGACGAGTCGGGCAACTGCTCTGTAACGAGTCAGTTGTGTGTCCTTGCTGTCGCGCTGTACTTGTCAGGTCAAAGGTCGCTGACCTTTGACTTTCGCGTAACCTCCAGCAACTGCTCAACCTCCAAGGGTTAACTCGCCAGTGCTTCGATATGCTTCGCTTCGCTTCTGACTTGGTGTTTCGACACGACAGAGGCGCTTTGAGTTAATTGTTTCCAACACTCCCCTTCGCTTCTGGAGTGTCGCAGTTGGTGACGTGGCTCTGTCCAGTCAGCAGCATGCAGTACTCGAACTTCTGCTTTCCGAGCTTCTTGGTCAAGTAATCAGCTACCATCTCAGATGTGGGGTAGTATGACAGCTCGAGTCTTCCTTTCTTGATCTCGTCCTTCACGAAGAAGTATCGCAGGGCGATGTGTTTTGTCCTGTTCGCGAAGCCGCTCTTGTTGGCTATGCGAATGGGCGACTGATTGTCGCAGAACAGGGTAAAGTTTGGTAACTGGGCTAGCTTGGCTTCCTCCAGGAGTTCGCGAAGGTACAGTCCTTCCTTAGTGGCTGAGCAGAGTGCGATATATTCTGCTTCAACTGAAGAGAGAGCGATTAATTCCTGCTTACTCGACTGCCAGGAGATGGGACCGATAGGTTTGAAGCGATAGATGTAGCCGGTGCGCGAGCGTCTGATGTCAGAGTCGCCGGCGTGATCGGCGTCGACGTAGCCGATTAGTTTAGGCGTTGTAGTCGTGTTTTTATGGTAGGTCAGGCCAATTGTTGGGGTGCTAACGAGGTAGTGAAGAGCACGGTCGAGCTCCGCCAGATGTTCCGCTTCAGGTTTCTTGAGGTAGGTGGCGAGCTGGCTTGCAGAGTACGATAGGTCCGGGCGGCAGGTGACAGCTGCGAAGAGGAGGCATCCCAGCTTCCTCTGGTAGTCGCGTATGCCGGCGGGCTTGAGTAGAGCGGAGCCTTCCTTGTGGTTTTGTGCCGTGTAGCGGTATGGCGTGGAGATGGCGGTCGGCGTGAGTGTGAAGCGCTTGGCGATGGTATCGGCGTATTTCGCGCCGCTGAGGTAGATCGCATTTTCTTCTTCCTGGATGTTGAGGCCGAGGTACTGTGTGACGGTGGACGAGACCGTGAGGGTGAGATCCCTTTGCAACTCCCCTTCGAACCAGGTAGTGATGCTGCCGGTTGAGCCGATGTAGAGCAAATCGTCGACGTAGACGATTAGCAGGATGTAGTCAGTTCCGTTTGTGAGCCGGTATATGCCTTGGTCGTGAGGTAGCTGACGGAATTCGATGCGAGTGAGTCTTGCGTGTAGGTACTGCTGCCACAGCCTTAGGGCTTGTTTGATACCGTAGAGTGACTTCAGCAACTGACAGACTTGATAAGGCTTTCCATTGGAGCCGTGCGGTAGCTCGACGAAGATTTCTGCGTCGACGGGTGCGTAGAGGAAGGCGTTGGCGACGTCAATTTGCCGCAGCTTCTTATTCTTCATGGCGGCAATCGCGAGGAGGATTCGCAGCGTGGTGGATTCGCAGCGAGGTGTGTCGGCTGACCGGAACGAACGTTTCGGTGAAGTCGCGTCCGTGCTCTTGGTCGGCCGCGCACGACCCATCGTGCTTTATCAATGGTGCCATCTGCCTTTGTTTTCACGCGGAAACCCCACTTCTCGGTGAGTACTGTCTTGTTTCGTGTTGCGCAGATAGGGACAACCTTCCAGGTGTTGCGTTCCTGCAGTGCTTTCAGCTCCCTGTCCATGGCTTCGCGCCATTTTTCCTTATGTTCCCCCCCGAGAGCCTGCTGAACTGTCGCAGGCTCCTTAGGAATGGCAGTGCCGTGGACCGCGGTGACCAGGCCAAGTATCTGGAGGCCGCTCTGTGTGTAGCGAGGAAGTGATGTGTACCGAGATAAACTGCTTCGTCTCCCGCTTCTGGTGTAGGGTTGAAGTTTGGTCCTACACGTTCTGCTTCGTTGGTGTTGACTTGTGCAGGCGTAACGTAACCGTTGTTGGCGAAGTGGAAATAGGTTTCGGCGTTGATGCTTTTGCGTGGATTTTCGTCATCCATTGGCACGTCGACGGAGCAGTAGGGGAGAGGTCTGGCTTCTTCTGAGGCTTCTTCCACGTTCTGCTCGTCCCAATCAGCTTCATCTTCTGCCGAGGCGAAGGGTCGGGTGCCAAGAAATCCATCGGAGCGATCGGGGTTTCCTTCTTGTAAGTTAGCGAGGTAGTACCGGACGGTGAGGTTTTTGTAAAAGATGACATCACGTGCTGCTACTGTTTCTTTTGTCTCGATGTCGAAGATCTTCCATGCGTTGTAATGTTTTTCGATGCCCATGTGTAGTCCCACTGTGCGCGTTGGGAGAATCGGCCGGCTCGTGCAGATGGGGGCCGGTACTGTACCATGCAGCCGAAGACTCTCAACATTTTTGTGCTGCCCGGTTTTCCTGTCCACATCAGATGCGGTGATGCGTTGTTCGGGAGCGATGATGACGAGAGCAAGTTGTGCAGCATGACGGCGTGGTCCATTGCTTCGGGCCACTGGTGGTTCGGCAGGTGCAAGCCACGTAGCAGCTTGCGCATGGTGTTCTGGAGGATCCTGTTCATCCTTTCTGCTACGCCTTGCTGTTGATGGGCGTAGGTAAGGGAGATGAGTCGCTTGATTCCTCTCTCTGCCAAGTACTCCTTGAACCTCTGTGAGGTGTATTCCCCCCCTCCATCTGATTGAAAGCTTTTGAGTTTGACGCCTGATTCTTGTTCTGCTACTGGAAGCCAGGCGACGAAGGCTTCGAAGGCCATGTCGCGGCTTGGAAGATTTAGGTGCCAGGCGTATCGTGTGGCTGTGTCGATGAAGGTGATGGTGTAATTGTATGCGTTTTGTACATGCTCGCAGTTGTACAAGACGTCGCTATACACCTTTTCGAGTGGCGCGTAAGCTGGTGCGCTTGGGTTGTGGTGAGACGCGAACGGTTGATGCGGTAAGTCAGCTTCGGGACACGTGAAGCTCCCAGAATGTTATTCTCTAGCCTATAGTGGGGTGCTCTATAGCAAGTAGAACCCATCTAGGGTTTGCTATATGTATCCTCATTGCTGCTAGTGAAAGCCCGCTCTCTTCTTCATTCTCGTTCCAATCTTCACATGCTATCAGAGCGACTACGCTCCTAGCCTGTGGTCCCACCTCACTGCTTCCGCTGCTACTCTGTGTTCGGCATGCCCTGTGGCGTGCCCCTCGCGCTACTCCTCGCGGCCCCGTCGCCGCCCTTCTCGGCCCCTCGCGGCCCCTTCGCGGCCCGTCGCCACCCTTCCAGGCCCCTCGCGGCCCCTTCGCGGCCCCGACGCCGCCCCTATCGGCCCCGTCGACGCCGCTAGCGGCCCCGTTGCCGACCCTAGCGGCCCCGTCGCCGCTCCTATCGGCCCCGTCGCCGCCGCCAGCGGCCCCGTCACCGACCCTAGTGGCCCCGTCGCCGCTCCTATCAGCCCCGTCGCCGCCGCCAGCGGCCCCTTCGTCGCCGCCAGCGGCCCCGTCGCCGCCTCCAGCGGCCCCGTCGCCGCCTCCAGCGGCCCCGTCGCCGCCACTTCCGGCCCCGGCCCCGCCCTGGCCATGCCCCGTCGCCAGCCGCGGCGCACCGGGGGCACGTGCACCGCCCCTCCCCCCCCCTCTTTTCCCGTCGCCCGTCGCGGCTCCTTCGAAGGCGCCCTGGGGGAGGGGGGCGAGCATCGCCCCTTCTGCCGCCTATTTTGGCGCCCTAGGAGACCGCGCGTCCCCCCCCCCCTAACCTCCCTACCCGCCGTCCCGCACTGCCCTGTGTTAGGGTCTGGGGGTGGCGAGTAGGGGGTGATAGGTATGTGGTCTCCCCTGCTCCTCCTCCTCCTTTGTCTCCCACTGCTGTAGCTGTCGCTGAGGGGGGTGGATATGTGGGAGCCTGGGGTTTAGGGTTTAAGGGGGGTGCTGTGGGAGTGGAGCTAGGGTTTGAGGGAGGTGGATGTGTATGAGCCTGCCGTTTGGGGTGTAAGGGGGGTGCTATGGGAGTGGAGCTAGGGTTTGAGCAGGGGGTGTGTGTCGAGAGGTGTGGGGCAGCTGGAGGAGGTTGGTTGAACGGAGGTTGTCATCGTGTCGTCAGCAGCACCAGTAGTCCGGGGCGTTGCTCCGGTAGCCCAGTCGTAGCTAGCTGTGCCAGTCGCCCGTGGGTCCGTTGCTCGTTTGCCGCTAGTCTTAGCCGCGGAGCCAGTTACTCCTTTAGTCCGGAGCGTTGTTCCGGTAGCCGCTGTGCCAGTGTGACTCCTGTTGCCCGTGTGTCTGCAGCTTCAGCCGTCGCCTCCTATCTCCTCTCCTCTTACAGTCTCGCCTCCTCCTCCTCACTTGCCCTTTGTGAATGACTCTAGCTTTGCTCGCTATTGTGAACTCCTGCTCTATGCCTGCTT